AAATTACACATATACTTTTCCTTGAGATAACTTGCAAACAACATACCCAGGATGTAGCAGAAGTGCTTTAAAAGACATTGTATTCAAGATCAAGACTTAATGAAATTAGTAGTTTTGACTGCATCAGTAAGTGTGTTCTTAAGTTAAATTGGCTCTGTAGGTGTGTGAGGGTATGGTGGTGGTTTTTTAGGACAGCTACCACTAGGACAGCTTGATGTTACTGTCTTGATGTGTGCCAAGGAACCAGCAGTGTAATCCACCATAGTTTTTATTCCATCACTCTGCATGTCAACACAGTGAAAGAGGCAAATCCTGTCTTAGTATTATTAGGTAAATAATTGTAACCTCCAGTGGACTCCCTGAAAGGGGCTCTAGGACTTCCAGGGGTATCTGTGGACCACCTTTAAAAGTCTTTCTCAGCTCTCCTTCAAAACTTGGAGACCTTAAACTTCCTCTTTTCCATATAATCATTCTTTACTTTTTCTTTTTTTTTTTTTTTGAAAAAAAATCTCTCTCTTGTCACACAGTTCACTCCTTTCTCCTTATACATTGTGTAGTCCACTATGGAGAGAAAGGGAGGAGGTTGTATCTTTCCTTCTTCTTTTTTTTTTTTTTTGAAACAAAATCTTGCTCTGTCACCCAGGCTGGAGTGCAATGGTGTGATCTCAGCTCACTGCAACCTCCACCCACCGGGTTCAAGTGATTTTCCTGCCTCAGCCTCCAGAGTAGCTGGGACTACAGGTGTGTGCCACCACGCCCGGCTATTTTTTGTATTTTTAGTAGAGACAGGGTTTCACCATGTTGGTCAGGCTGGTCTCAAACTCCTGACCTCGTGATCCACCTGCCTGAGCCTCCCAAAGTGCTGGATTCTTTCCTTTTTTGTAAGTCGCGCCCTTCAGTCTACAAAATTAATAATTCTTTATCCAGCTACCCTTCAAGCTATCCTCCTTTTTCCCTTCTGCAAAACTTCAATATAGTTTTGTTTGTTGATGTCCAAGGGGTATTGGGTTCAAGGACCACCCCCCCGCCACAGATACCAAAATCTATAGACATTCTGCAATATTTGCATATAACCTACACATAAGTTCCCCTATACTTTAAATCATCTCTAGATTACCTAAAATAGTTAATACAATGTAAATGCTGTGTAAATCATTGTCACATTGTATTGTTTAGGGAATCATATGAAAAAGAAAGTCTGTATACATGTTTTGCACAACCCAACCATCCTTTTTTTCCCCCCCTCCCTCAAGTATTTTACATTTGTGTTTGGTTGAATCTGGTCGTCAAACCTATGGATATGGACAGCCAACTGTAGTTTGCTTTTACTATTTCTCTTTCTAATCTGAATTACACTTCAACCCTTTAAAATCTGGTTACTCTCCCCAGTGCTCTAAATTTGTGTTTTTAATATTCCCAGTGACATGCGTAATCTAGTATTTTAATATATGTCTTTACTCAGCAGCATTTGTAGTAGTTGACTATTTGCTTCTGATTTTTCCTTTTTTTTTTTTTTTTGAAACGGAGTCTTGCCCTGTTGTAGGCTGAAGTGCAGTGGTACAATTTCAGTTCACTGTACCCTCCACCTCCCAGATTCACGTGATTCTCCTGCCTTAGCCTTCCAAGCAATTGGGACTACCGGTGTGCACCAGTGCACACAGCTAATTTTTGTCTTTTTAGTGGAGATGGGATTTCACCATATTTGTCAGACTGGTCTTGAACTTCTGACCTCATGATCCACCCGCCTCAGCCTCCCAAACTGCTGGGATTACAGGTGTGAGCTACCACACCTGGCCTGATTTTTCCTTTCTAGGAACTCAGTTAATGTGCTTTTCTCTAATCCTTCTAATTTTTGTCAGTCTCCTTTGCTGACTCAGTCTCTGCTCACTTTTTAATGTCCCAACTTCATCATTTTTTTCTTCAAGTTCTTATTCACTTTAACTGATGTGTTTTAAGATGATTGAAATTGCTGCCTCTAATCCTAACTCCTGCCCTGAACTCCACACCCTTATCTCCAATTTCTAAAAGTTGCCAAATGTCTATCTCACATTTTTGAAACTGAACTTGGTATCCCTAGAAACAAACACTGCCATTATCTTCCCTGCCAAAACTTCAACAAGCATTAATTAATAGCTATACAACATACTGTGGGAAAACACAGGTACAATACCTGTCAGGCAAGGTAGATGACAAACAGGTAAACAATAACTACAGATTATGGTAAGTACTGGTTGTGCTGGGGGATGAAGAGAGACTACTTAGATAGGTTTGTAATGAAATATCACTCTGAGGAATTAACACCTAAACTGAGACCTGAAGAAGAAGGATTTATCTATATGGAGAGTAGAGGAAAGAGCATTTCATGTAGAGAGAACAGTAAGCATCGAAGCTACAGGTCAAGTCCCTGGGATGTTCTAAGGAACTAAGGTCATGGTAGATAATGATGTAAGAGTAAGCAGAGTCAGTTGGATTGGTAGATCTTACAGTGGCCTCTAGACCACGAAAAGGAGTTTGGGTTTTATTTTAATTGCAAGGAGAAGCCATTGAAATGTTTTAAGCAGGCTGTGTCAAAATCTGATTTCCATTTCTAAAATATTCTTCTGGCAGCTCTATGGTGAATAGTTGGGTACTGGACAGGAGTGAGGGAGGAATAGGGAGACCTGGTTGGAAACTCTTGACAGTGTTCCATGTGAAAGATTATAGTGGTTTGAACTATAAGGTAGACTGGAGATGGGATGGAAATGAACATGTTCAAGGTACGTTTTGAAGCCTTGAAGCAGGAAGACATTATCTTAGGGTGAAACCTAAAGATAAACTTGAGTTTTCCAGAAAAAGGGTTAGCAGGTGTTCCAAGAGAAGAAACATCATGTACAAAGGGTAAGAGACAAGAGAGAAAATGATATACCTCAAGACCTGAAAGAAACTCAATGTGCCTAGAATCTAAAAGGGATAATGGCAAAGGGCGAAGTAGGAGGTTCAGCAGAAGCCAGATTATACAGGACCAAGTTCAGGGACTTAGACTCTTCTATGTCTGGAGTTCCAATCTGGGCTATACTTGGGAATTACCTGGTTATAACCAGTAATGGAATTCCTGGGAGTAGATGAGATTACTTAGAAAGAATGCATAGAATGCAATGAGCATAGATCCTAAAGCAGCAACCTGGGGAACATTAGCACTTAAAAGAAGTGATATGGAGACAGAAGAACTAGAAAAGCAAAAGTTGATAAAAGCCAAGAGACAAAGATTTTGCAGGTTTGTGGACAGCATTTCAGATTGATTCTTTGGGGGATTAAATAAGATAAGACTTGGGAAATAGCCTGTACCGGTCACTGATGAACTTGGGCGAGAATCACTTTGGCACACTCATGCATTGAAAACCAGATTAGTGAGGGTTGAGTAAATTATGAGGTAAGAAGATTGAAACAGGGTATGTAGGTGACTAGGTGGTCTTTGGGAGGACAAGAGTGATGGAGTGCTGATTGGAGTTTTTGGTGGAATCTTTAGGTTTTGTTTTGTTTTAATATGTGAGATTTATATACTTTCTGGCAGAGATTGAAGGTAAAGAGAGGAGGTGGGGTGGAATGGGACCCTCTCCAGTACCCTCTCCGTTGCTCTCACCTGGTGAGAGCAAAAAAACTTTTTGCTTTTTTTAAGAAAAACTTTTTTTCTCAAGCAAAAAAACTTCAGAAACAGCTCTAATTTCTTTTGTACCAAGCCTTTGCCCCACTTACACGTCCTAAATAAATCTTATTTTTACCTCAGAAATATTATTCGAATATAGTTTCTCTTCTCCACACTAACGTTGCTTTCATTAGGTCAGCATCATATCTCTATAGGGCTGTTGAAACAACTTCTTGCTGATTCTGTTCCTTTAACCAGTAAGATAATATTACTGTTTTACCAAAAGATCTTTGCTGGTTGAGTCCTGGTTCTTCAGCCCTTTGCTATGTTAACCACTTGTCATCTTTCCTGCTGGCCCTTCCATCCAACCCCCATACTACCCTTTAGCTATGTTAAAATCCCTCTGATTTATAAACATTCTCTCCTCTTGGAAAACCTTTTTGCTTTAATTAAGGTATCTTCTTTAGCTGAATTACATTTATTCACCTTTGCCTCTCCAGCAAATTCCTGTTCAAGATGAACCTGGAAGTTATCTGTTATGATAGAATAGAGCATGCCTTTCTGTATACACAACACACTGCATTCTTCTGTTACAACATTAGTTTATTCCTTTATCTTAGTAATTATCTGTTGGTATATCTCTCTTCACCTGGACTAGTGGTTCCTCCAGACCAGAGACTATGGCTTCCAGGCATATATCCCAGATGATTGGCATAGCATCAGATGTTAAGTAACCTAAACTGATTTGGCTGAATGACTGAAGAGTAACAATTAATGGAATTGATAGATTCTTAGCATTGTGAAATTGGAATTGATTATTTTAATGAGAACACTGAGGTCCAAGCAGGTGAAATGATCTTCATAAGGTTATCCAGATGGTAACCGGGTTCTCCTAACTTCTGACCCAGGGCCCTCTAAAGAACTTCCACTAGCTGCTGTTAGTCCATGCTGATTGAGTGATATTTAAATTAAGATAAAGCTATAAAAACACATGTACTGTCTACAATGCCATTTAATTTTTTGCTTTTGGAATATAACTGAAAGATTGAAATGATAGAATGATATTATATGTAAAGAGTCCTAAAAATTGTTTGAATTTAGTAGACTAGTCTTCCTTAGATGAAAAGTCAGATTTAGTGTCATTTTACTAAAGTCCATACTTTATCCCCCTAGAGGAGTTTCTGGGTACAAAATTGTATGGATATATTTGCATTTGGGGGTGGGGGAGCATAGTTTCCACAGATGCTCTGCACCTCATGACTTCAAGTTATTTTGCTGTTGTGATAAGTGATCATTCTCAAAGCAAAGTACATGAAAGATTCTTTTAGCTGTTACTTGAATTAAATGTTTAATCTTTGCTACTTGCTTTCATTTTTAGGGTTTGTGTTTAGTGAATCAGAGGGATCTGCATTAGAACAGTTTGAAGGTGGCCCCTGTGCTGTTATTGCACCTGTTCAGGTAACATAGACTCCTTTACCAGCTCCTTAGAGGGACATGTTGAAATGTTTCATACTTTTTGTTTTCGAATGTCTGTATTTCATATAGTAATTATGAGACATGATCAGTTAACTCTTAACTTTTGCTCACATAAATTACAATAAATATCCAAAATAAAAATGAATTCAGAATATTGATGAATTGCACAACAGTAGCCTTTTGGCTACATTTTCAAAGAAAAAGAGGCATCCCCTGACTTTGAGAAAATTAGGAAGTTTCTTGACATCTTTAATACAGAGTTCCTATTTAGTAATAACATGTTATACTTTAGATAGGTACAATCACAGTAATTGTACTATTTTCATTTGTTCAGCCTATAAACGTCATTTTTATAGACTGAAAAAAGTTGATGATTTCATACTTTTATGGCCTGTAACTTTAAAATTTTGAATTAAGTTGGCAGTGTATACTATTTTATGCTATAGCTTTGGCTTTTCTAAATAATTTGTAACAACTGATTTCAAACAATTTCAAAACCAAAAAGGTTTTTTGTTTGCACAAAACATAGAATTTATCGGAATGTCTTTATTTGATTTGGAATCTTGATGTGTTATATCGTTTGAATTTCAAAGGCTAATTCACTATAAACTGTTGCATTGTTGAAATCAATAATTGAATTTTCAGTTTACTGTAGTATTGATGATGTCTGTGAATAACAGTGTAACTTTAGAACTGTTATAAAATTTACAGCTAATTTACTGTTTATGTTTTAGCCATCGTGTTTTGAAAATACATATTTAATGTGGCATTTATTCATTGGATACAGAGTAATAAGATACAAAGTATATACAAAAATAAGGTACTTTGGCTACAAAGTAAATTTGTTTCTCAGAACTCATAATCTATATACTTAAAGTGTTAAAAATGTATTTATGTAAAGGAAAAAAATCTTTTATGGTTGATTCCAAAATATGTCTTTCATAGATCATTATTTTTTAAGTTGATTTTTTTGCATTAGGAGATTTTTTTTAAATAAAGAAAAATTTGAATATCCAAATCTTGCCTTGAAATTATGGAATGTGAAGAATGAAATTTAACTATAAATTAGTAATTATAGCTGTTGTGCTGAGTAACTGAAACAAATTTCAGTTGTCAGTAGGAATGTTATCTGAATTTGAAGACTCCTTGTTATGTCCATATATAAATTAGATTATATAAATACTGCCTTTCTTGGTCAGTAATAGCAGGGTTTTTATTGGAAATCCATGAATGTAATTAAATGGAGGATATACCACAGGAGTTTCTTGTTTTATAAAATGCAGTATATTTCAGTGGTGGTAGTTACTTGTGCAAGTGGGGTGCTGTGCGATAATGGTAATATTTAAAATCCTGATCCTACCTTTCTATATCTTTGAGGTAGTAGTTTAAGAATCACATAGCCAAGGCACAGTGGGTCACACCTATAATCCCAGCACTCGGGGAGGCTGAGGCAGGAGGATTGCTTAAGGCCAAGAGTTCAAAACCAGGTTGGGCAATACAATGAGACCCCTGCTCTTAAAAAAAAAAAAAAAAAAAAAAATTGAAAATTAGCTGAGCATGGTCGGGCATGCCTGTAGTCCTAGCTCCTCAGGAGGCTAGACGGGAGGGTCCTTTGAGTTCAGGAGTTCAGGGCTGCAGTGAGCTATGATTATGCCACTGCCTTCCAGTCTTGGTGATAGAGTGAGACCCCATTTCTAAAAAGGGAAAAAAGGAGTCATGTAAACTTTGTAAAGAATTTTGTTTGTGTTAATATTTCAGTTTAAAAGTCAAAACTAAGTTATTAAGAATGACCAGAAGTGAGCAGGTACATATATTAAAACTTTTTTAGAGTATAAGAATTAGAACATGATGCTGTGTAAGAAGAATAGGCAAAATAATGGAACCAAATTGATAATACAATCATAGACCTCATCACCTGTAACAATTTACCAGGAATTTGTTACACCAAGAATGAAGAAGGAACTAAGATCAGTGGTGAAATAAAGTTTCATAAATGTTATCCCCATGACTTGCTAGCACTTTGAGGGGAAGATAAGTTTAGATCATTTTGTACCATATGTCAAATGTATTCTTGGAATAATATTTAACCGTAAGAAAACTTAAAATTAACGTAACGTCAACACTATAAGAGAAACAGTACCTCGAAACTGAGAAATATTTGCAGTAAATATTATCAATAAAAGGTTGTTGTCTTTCTCATATAAAGAACTTGTAGAAATTGATTAGAAAAACATGGGGGTGAAATGGGCATAGATGTGCAGTCATAACATGTGGAATGATGCTTTACAGCAAAAGAATCAGGATGCTCACCCTCAGTAGGAAGCCAGGAAAGTAAAAATAAAACTGTAACTAGATTCTATTTCTTACTTTTTCTCATCTTTAAAAATAAAATTACAATTGCCAGTGCATGTAAGGGTGGGATGATGCTGGCACACTCTATTCTGCCATGTAGTACAAATTTGTACTTTGATTTCGGGAAGGAATTTTAAATTATAATTGGAACCATGACAATGCAGATTCTGAGGCAACAGCAGTATTTCTGTGAGTCTTTTCTAAAGAAATCTTTAATATGGAAAAATTGTATTTAAGACGGAGCTTATATATTAAAGTAGCAAAAAAAAATTGTAAGCAATATCTAATGCACAGTAATATAATTTAATAGGTAATTAAAATTTGGTAAATAGCTTGTTAGACAAGTAGTAAGAATTATACTTATGAATTCTATAGAAAAACAAAATATTCATATAACCATTCTGATTTTTCACTTGTAATAAAATTAAAACTAGGTATAAAAAAAGATGGGAAGGAAGTATATCCAAATGCTAATAGTAATTATATTGGTGGTGAAATAATGAATGTCCCCATCTCACTTTCAAAACTTTGTGATGTAGTTATACTGTTTCACTTTATGGTTGTTGTCATTTTGGGGAAAAATGGGAAGTACTTGATTACAGTATTTGTAGATTGTATGCCTATGTGAATGGAATATTAATTTTTCATTGTAATACCTTAAATTGTTTATTGGTGCCAGGTACTATGCTAAGTGTATTACATAGATATTCTCTCATAATCCTCACTGCAACCTTTTAAATTTTGTACAGTTATTTTTAGTTAGTAATAGTGGAGCCAAGATTCAAACCTAAGTTTGCCTGATAAAAATCAGTCTTCCTAATCTGTACACTAGTACTTTCAAACACAGGTGAGGAAAAGTCATCATTGTAATCTGTTTTTCTTTGACCTGCCCTCAGATAGAATAGGTGGAGCCCAAGAATCTGCAGTTTAAACAAACAAGTCAGGTGACTGGGATGTAGCTACCATTGAACTAAACTTTGAGAAGGAGGCACTTTGCTGTGTAGCTTTTTATCAACCAACCTGTGTAACATAGTTGACTCACTTAAGGGGAAGTTTAGAAATCCATTTGTCTTTTCTTTTAATCATGTAGCTTTTTGAGTTAAATTTGAGCTCCTGATAATAAAGTGAAGACTTTAATTGTGTTATTCTTGTATCACAGATGAGAGTTAAGGGAACAGAACTACTTTTATATTTAGATCTCTTTTACCAGAAGGAATCTAACTGAAATGTAGACTTACTCTTGTTCTACATAGCTTTCATTTTGTGAATAGAGCATTAAGTGTCTGTGCTTTCCAGTTGCATTCTGTTATTTGAGTGAGTTCTACTTGTCAGAAAATAAGTATTGTGGAAGAAAAATGGTTTTATGGATTTAAAATCAAGTTGATAGTGGTATACTCTGAGTAAATAAATCTGCACAGTTCCTGTCAAATGTGAGGGAAGCTCATTTGACATCTTTACAGAACTATGCAAAAGATTAGAAAGGGGGTACAAATTAGTTTTTCCCATTTTAAAATTGAAGAATGATATGATATATGCTTATATTGCAGTTCACTAATTATTGCTTTAATTGTGTAAAGGCATTTCTTTTGAAGAAGCTCCTGTTTTCTTCTGAGAAGTCTTCTTGGCGGGATTGTTCAGGTATGATAGCTGTTTTTTAAAACTTTTACTTCATCCTCTGTTTTAATACAGATGGTCTGTGCAGTGTTCATTGGCAATAGTTTAATTAAAATTATCTGAGAAAGTTAAGTATCAGTGGGATTTTTTTTTCCCCTGAGGTTTCCTTCTAAATTGTTTTTAGGAAGCTTCATAAACAGTGACTCCATATTTCTAAATTTGGTTTTCTAACCAAGGGTGGTAAGTCAGGATTGTATAACTAAGGGAAAAACCTTGACCTCTTGCTAAAACATGGTGCATTTCCTAGAACTGTTAGGTGACAGCATACCATAAAGAATAGTCTTTTTTTTTTGTTTTATTTATCTGTGAGCAAGACTTCAGAATTCTCATTGCATTCTTGCATATTTCAGTATAATGACTTACACAATGCAAATACTGCAAATAATTTGGATGAAACTGCAAATGAAGCTGTCATAACCTCTGTAACATGAGCTTCTGTACCTAGAGAGATGTGTGGTGCCACCTTATAATAACAAGAATTTGCATTCCACTTGCCAGTTTACAAAGATCTCTCCTTCTACACAATTTCATATGAACCTCACAATAACTTCTGGAAGAAGGTGGGGCATATTACAATCCCAGTTTTGTATCTGAGGACATAACTGAGCTTACATACCAAACAACAACTGTAGAATATACTAATGATTTTGGATTTAAGAGTTAAGGTATCATTTTCATAATTTTTAATAGGTGAAATACAAAATGAATTTTAGTAGAGGAACTATTTGAGATACTATTGTTGAAATGAATTTTTAATGAAGTGTATGCTATTACTTACACAGAACAGTATTCGCTTTGATAAAACATTTGTAAAGCATTGTCATAAGTGTAATAAATGCTGTGCTGATAATAAGGTGCCTTTAAAGAACTGTTAATCCATTAGGAGAGATAGAAACCTCCTTGTATCATAAAATTTTATATAGAATGTGTGCGTATCCTATACTCTCTGTTTGAAAGTTTCAGAAAATGATACTACTTCTTGATAGTAATACTACTTGAAAACAGAGTGTGGCTAAGGTTCATAAAGAGATGGTCTGAGCATTTGCACTATTTTCTATAAAATTCTAATGCTCAAATCTGTATTATAACCACTGGCCTCTGCTGATATAATGGATTGTGGTAGTATATGTGCATCTCATTATTTTTATCCCTGTGGGACAGGGTAATCAAAGATGTTAGACTAATTCAGAAGCGGGGGAAAATAATAGAGGTCTCAACAGGCCTTTATACTGTGCTTGGTTCTGCAGTAAAGGAAACCTCATGGCTTCAGTTGCTAAAGGTTTAAGAAAGTGATGAGCAGTATCAGATTATGATCTTTCATAATATTTAATTCTGCATTTTCAGGATTCTTTTTCTACTTGATGGTTTTATTTAGATGGCTTTATTTAAAGTGGTGATATTTTAATCCACAAACTTACTGTTTTTCTAAAACATAATTTTAAATATATTGAGAGATTTTTTCCCATTTTTAGAATGCTTGATTTTATCACACTAACACATTTTTACTATTGTTATTCATGACAGATTCCTTTTTTCCAGAAGAAACCATTATAACTTATGCTTTGGTTATTTTTAGAGGAAGAGCAGAAGGAGCTCCTTTGTCATACCTTATGTGATATTTTAGAAAGTGCTTGTTGTGACCACTCTGGACCATACTGCTTGGTTTCATGGTTAAGAGGAAAGACAACTGAAGAAACTGCTAGTATTTCTGGGAGTCCTGCAGAGTCTAGTTGCCAAGTGGAACATTCTTGTAAGATATATTTTTATTTCCTGAAGTTTTTTGTTGTTCCTTTGTTTTAATTTATTTAATATTTTGAAGAAAAATTTACTTTAAATTTTCATAACATATATTTTAGCTTAAGCTTAATTACTGAACCTTAATATTTTTTGTTCCCCTTAGAAGATACTACATTTTTGCAAAAAAAAAAAAAAAAAAAAAAAAAATATATATATATATATATATATATGTATATATCTTAAACTTTTTTAAATGTTCTGGTTAACTTTGGCTTGATAACAATCTCTTTTGAGCTTTAGAACTCTTATTTAGAAATAATGATACCCTTCAGTTTCAGATGCCTTAATGTGTTGCTTTGGCATTGCAAAAAAAAAAAAAAAATTCTTTTGACATCAGAAAATTTCATAAATTTGTCTTTACTTGCTTCCCAGAGCAAAAATGGAGACATTTGTCTTCGCTGTAAGCTGTTTTTTTTCCCTTGTGAATTTTTTGGATATTTTTATACATACAGATTATTTTAAGGCAATTTTAATTTTGCCTTAAATTTTTTATACATTGATCAAAGATTTTTCTCTTTAAAATAAGTTTAATGGCCATTCCCATTGTTCATAAAAATTACATATTCTGTGGTTTTTAACTTTTGAAAATTCTTATGTGATTGACCTGCTAGCTGCCAGCGTGAAATGGAGACACCTAGTGGTACGGAAGATAGTTAAAAGTTGCTTTTCTGATTTGCTTTTCAGGAATAATCTTGTTAGTTGATGGTTTTTGATAATTGCTAGTCCCAAGTGCTTCTGTTAAATAAGTGGCTTATTCAACTTACAGTGGATCCCATTAACTGTCATCTCTATGAAAATTTTTTGTAAGAAATTATCTACCTGAAAGTACATTTCAGTTGTATGTGATACACATTTTGCTTTCCATATAGTATTATCCATAAGGTGCTGCTGCCTCCCGGACTAAAATGCCTTGTGTTGTCAGTGTCTTCTTTCTCCTGCCTTTGCAGTTAAAATGTTTTAAGCCAAGCAAATTCTAAAAATAGTACATTTGCAAGGAATAATTTTGAAAGTTTAAATAGTTGAACGATGCTTCCTTTCAAAGCCTTTGAAACATGGCCTTTCAAAAAGAACTTAATTTATTTTACAGTTCATAATTATATTTGAAGACAACAAGTGGAAAATAGTCAACAAGGATGGTAGTCCAAAGTGTCATTAAGACTGGCTTTAAAATATTTTCCTGGTTTTATTGTGTGGACGCAAACATACTTAATAGTTTCATTTAGGATATTAAAATTTTGAAAGAGGAAATGTTGATCTTTTGAAAAGGTCTTGTAAAGATTATGTGCTTAAAGCCAGTCTGTGTATTAATGTTGAGAAAATAGTAAGCTCTTTTTATATAACATTTCCCATTAGTATCTTAATAGTATACTGATGCATACTATGGAACATGCTATGGATTTCTGTAGTGATATGTTACATTGCTGTAGGTTAAAGGACCTTAAAATGCATTCAGTTTAGTACTTCAGTAACTAATTAGATGGGCATATTGAATTACCTTCCAAAAAACAAGTTAGTAATTTTCCAGTTTACTTTGTATCTCATTTTAAAAGTTGCCATGACATAAACTATATTTTATTTTTTTAATATTGTATTCCTTTGAAATACTTTGTTAACTGAAAGTTTGAGAATTTACCTTAGATATTGACAAATGAAATGTATTTATATTATAATTTTTATTCCATGTAACAATCTATTTTACCTGTTCTTTCCTTTATTCCCAGCTATGTTCTTTTTCTTGTGTTTTATATTTTTCCACCATCCCTGCCTGCTAAGCTTTTTATTTTGCTTGCCTCTTTTCTCTAAATTACTATCTTTATGTCTACTCTTGTAGTATACCCAGTAAAATGATTTAGATAATCTGACATTGCAGAACATTTAGTGTAATTTGGAAAAGATTAGGTAGAATTTTCATTTTATTCTGAAATTTTGAATGTAAAGTGTTTTTCCTTCTTGTTAATATTACTTTCTCTACAAACATTAATTTCATTGGCTTATGTGATGTGTATAGTTTTGGCTTGTTGGTAATGCACACTTGTTCGCAATAGTGAATACTCAGGTTCAATTTCAGTTTGTTTCCCACATAAACCAAGAGATAACTTAATCCATTTGGACTGCTAAAGATTTTAAAAAGAGATATGAAACACTTAGGCTTTGAAATCTAGCAAAATGTGACATTTTAAATTGTAAATAAAAAAAATTTTGAGTTCATAATGAATCCGTTTTCTGAACTCACCAGTGAGAATTTGACAGTAGTAAGAGTTGCTTTATAAACTATATGTGAAATTATTCGTTGTGATAAATAACTCCCCGGAGCCAAGACTATCTGGGCTCAAATCTCATCTCTGCCATTTAATCCTGTGTACTCCTGCGAGGAGTTTTTTGTGTGCCTCAGGTTCTTTTTCTGTAAAATGGAGCTAAAAGGGTTTTTATGAGGATTAAATAAGGTAAAATATGTAGGGCATTTAGAAAAGGGCCTGGCACTTAATAAAGTGCTCAGTAAACATTACCTCTGATTCAAGTGCTTTGATTTCCTTTTATTAATAAACATAATCTAAATAAGTTCTGAAAAACTTAACAGTTGCACAAATAAATGAGGAAACAAACTTAAAGCTGTCATTGAACCTGTGTTGTTTGAAAGTGTTATGCCCTTTTATACACATTTGTTTAATAATTAAGCATAAACCTAAAGATTTTATATTCTCAAAAGGAAGATTAGCTGTGATGATATTACTTGGATCTATATAATCTGAAAGATTATTTAAAAGTGCAGGACACATTATAATGATGTGTGAGGCACTGATTATCAGTAATTTTTCATACTTTATAACCCATCCTAGCATAGCGGAATTGAAATGTTAATCACCCTTCTACATTGTCAGTATTGTATCCACTTTAGTTGTATTCATGACAACAAAGATGTTGAAATATAAATTCATATTATAGTAGAAGATAAACTGAGAATTTTAAGGGAGTAGGGAAATAGGGAAAGTTTTGATTGCTTGAAAGTATTTACAGCCTGCTGTGTGTATCTTGTGTCATTTATTTGCCATGTGTAGTGCTGAAAAGTGTCTTTTATGTATAGCTGCCTTGGCTGTCGAAGAGCTTGGCTTTGAGCGATTTCATGCATTAATTCAGTAAGTAACATTGGAACATTTAAAATACTTACTTTGTGGACACATTGCCACGTTAAGTCTGTTCATAATATGGAAGAATTCTTAGTTTTACATAGAAATGCGCTACTTAAACATAAATTTTAAATCCATTGCTTCAGGATTAATTTGCCTTTAAAATAGTTTGTAAATGTATAAATTATGCTGAGTCCTAAATTAACTATCCAAATATGCTTTTTAAAATCATTAAAAGCGTTTTCATCATTACAATGAAAAAAACTATCATTTTAGCTTAATGTTTCTGTGTCCTAAACAAATATAAAGATTTCTAGTGGGATAAATATTAGAATTATTTCATATTTGCCAACATCCTTTTTTCTATATCATTTATTAAGAATGCCCACATTTTTGTTAGAGCATTTAAACTTTGTATTACAAAGTAAAAGGTAAGGATGGCTTAGAATTATGGGTGGCGTTTGGTTTAAAATTTAATGTTAATTTCTTTTAAAAGAAGCCACAAATGTGTAAGTTGTCTTTGGCATTCAGATATTCGTTAAGTAATTTCTAGGATTTAAAAAGTGAAGTTTTCTTTGTGTTTACCCCCTCTTACAAGAAGTCCACTCTATTCTTTAAATAACTGTATATTATTGAAGAATTTATTGATTCCAGACAGTTCACCTAAGAGATGAAGAGGTTCCCTGCCAAGTAGGTGTTCTTTCTTAATGATACATACCATATATAGTGGTAGTTGTCAGAAATAGCTTTCAGTTTTAGTGGCTAAATTTGTATTTGAAAAATTTAGAACTATCTCAAAGTTTCCTCTTTGTATATGTTTTAATGTATAAGAAAATTTAAAAGTTTTCCCATTTATCAATGTAGTTTTCCCATTTATGAATCTCATCATGATACCAATACTTAATTCTTTTTTTCCCCCAGGAAAAGATCATTCAGAAGTTTACCAGAATTAAAAGATGCTGTCTTGGACCAGTATTCAATGTGGGGAAATAAATTTGGAGTATTGCTTTTTCTGTATTCTGTGTTACTGACAAAGGTGTGTTCAAGAAGTTGCTTTTTCTGTCTTTTATTAATGTTGTTTACTACTGTTTTTCCTGCTGTGATGAGTAATTGTATTCCTGATGCTGTTTTTAATTCTTAGAATAAAAATCTTTTATGCTTAAAATCAGTTAATTTCGGTTTCCACAGCACTTAAGCGGTTTCAAACTTACTTTCACCTCTGTTCTTCTGGTCTAGAGAGATTATCAGTAATGTAATTGTGAAATGCTGTCAGTTCTGGCAAATTGTGTTTCCTTTGATCTTAGTCCTATGCAGCGCTTGACCCCTTAACCCCTTCTGGAAGCTGTTTTTGACCTTCACTCCCTTTCTTGATTTTTTTGATAACTCACTGTGTGAGTTTTCTTTCTATAATGTCTCAAGATTCTTGTTTTGTTTTCTTTGATAGCTTCATTTCCTTCTTTACCTGTTACCTCTTGCTCCTTTCTCTCCTCCTCTAAATTTTGATATTCCAGAAATTTCCTTACCAGGATCCTGTATGCCTTTTCTTTTATGGATATTTCATTTGCTCAGCTTACGTTTATGTAGCTGTTTAATAGTTTCAGTATGTCCCCTTCTTGTCCAACCTTTTTTCCCCAAATACCAATCTCACATAACATGTTAATTTCAGTTTAGTATCCTACTAGATCTATCTTGTCTGAAATCAGACTTCTTTTATTTGACAAATGTTTATTGAGCATTGACTCTGTGCTAGGGACTATGCTTGTATTAATAATATGGAATACATTTTTAATAGTATCTATTTAGCATTGTAAAAAAAAGACACATTAATAATTCCATTATGGCAGTGTTTTTTAGCATTTGGTCTTGTGTCTAAACCTATCAGATGGACCGTATCTAGTAGAGACTGTCTGACAGATGTAGGACCTTAATGCATAAGGGCAAGTTTTCTGTATGGAAAAGCTGGAGGAAATTTTTTCCAGCAGTGGGCACAGCAAGTATAAAAGCGTAAGGGATTGGGGGTATAATGCAGGTTTGGGGAGCTCTAAGTGGTTGAGCCTTACTGCAGCATAAGACACCAGAGGGGCAATTGTGGAGGATGAGACTGGGCACTAAAGTAAGACAAGGCTTTTAGAGAGTATGAAGGTCCTTCTGTGTACACTGCAAAGAGTAAGTAGGTTTCATCTGCCCAGAATTGGAACACAACAGAAAGTTTGAACAAGGGAGTGACACAATTGGGATGGGAGTTGTGATGGGTGGAGTTGGTGTTTGTAGTGTAAGGCTAGTGTCAGGAAAACTGAGAAAGTGAGTATTGAAATAAGAGAAGCCTAAACTAGGAGAGATTATAGAATGGCAAAGAAAGGAAACATTTAGAAATGTAAATAAATACTTATTTGGGTTATTAAATATAAATAAGAGAATCAAAAGTACTTTGTTGTGTAGATGTTGGGAATAGCTGTGATGGTGGTATCTAAGATGACTGGTTTCTTATAAGCTTTTCTTGACTGTTACTTTTCTCCAGCTTTTTCATCCTCAAACGTTTGATACCCCCTGTTTCTTGTTCTTTACAGCCAATAATTTATCATGCTAGTTCTTCTTCCTTAAGCTGTTCTTTAAGATGATATCCCCTTCCTCGTTAGTGATTGTGTCACTTGTTGATAGTGTTCATCTTGACATTATCATAGCCTGCTTTGTATTGGTTACAAGGATGTACATGCAAGAGCTCATGCTTCTTTGTTTCCCCCTGCCAGATTCAGTCATTTATTAAAAATCTTGGTTGTTAATTAATCGTCTATTTAATTCTTAGAAATGACCCCTAACATGATACAACTAATGGCTAAAGTTAAGTAAATAGAACAATGAATGGCAGTTTATCTTTGCCCTTTTGGAATTGATGAGGTTAAAATAAGTAGGTCTTCTTGTACTTGCCCAGTATCTAGAACTTTTGTGGGGTGAGTGCCCTTCTGGAGGCTTAAAAAGTATGAGGAAATTTGTTTTTAAGAAAAGAAGGCACTTCCTGCCCTCCTCCTCATTTGCATTTTGTCAGTATACATTTGAATGACCAGTATTTGTGAGAAATCACAATCAGAAGTAAACCTTCCATTTTATGTACCAGTTAAATAACTAAAACGCAAAGTATTTAATGTTACATCTTCTTGTGTATATGTATATAGTGTAGTAAGTTTTTACGTGATCTGAAAAAAAATCAATTGTCTTAACAGGCCATAATTTAGCTAAAAGTTAAATGAATATGAACTTTTGTATTAAATAATTTTCTCCTTTCTCCTCTTTAATGTTAATTCTCTCTCCTTACCCCTTTAAGCAACAGTACATATTTCCCCCATGACTTTTCTTTATATAGAGCCCATGAAAAAAAATAAAAGATATTTGAGGAACTACTTTTTCCAGTTATCATCTTAAATGTACCCCCACTTCAAATCTGAGTCATTCTTGGTAGAAAAGTTACTTAAATAATTGTATTACAGTGTAAACTAAGCAGTTTTTAAGCTATCATAATTTTTGTTTTAGTTTTTAAAGCAAGTCAATGAATTCTTTCTTTCTTTAGGGCATTGAAAACATAAAAAATGAAATTGAAGATGCAAGTGAACCCTTGATAGATCCTGTATATGGACATGGCAGGTAATTGACTAAAATCTCTTGTCTCTATATGTGAACTCTAGTTTTTAGAAATTTATTTTAAGATAAAACACGACTGAGTCAGGTAATTTTGCTTTTAGTAGTGTTGATGGTATAACATCTATGGATTTGAGGACTCTTGTTTTATGCATTGTTTGCTTGATGCATGAAATGTTAACTTTCAGTTTATGCATTGTATTTATTGTGGCAGAAATTTTGTTTTCAGATAACAATGGGGAGGTATTTTAACAAATCTATTTATGATTTTCTTAATGATAAAATTTACTTATTTTGACTTAGAAATAAGTATATCTTGTAAACACTTCTATGCTTAAGAGAAAATTCCCCATTTTCCTTTGGGACCACCTTCCCTCTCAAGCTTTCTATGGCTGTTTTTACCAAAACTCAATAAAACAGTGGCAGTTAACCTACTCTAATACGTTAGTCCTTCTTTTTAGACCTTTCTGCCTCAAAGATGAAAATTCATGTATCTTTCATCAAAGATACAATATTATTAATTATATATTTTAAAAGTTACTGTAGATATTAAGTAAATTATTAGTCTGTGTCATTTTTATCCATTTAAATATATCTTATATAAAGTTGTTAAATGCATGTGAATATGTAGAACAATGATTACCATTGTGCCGATATATTTAGTGATACATTTAGCAAGGCTGAATGTATAAAGTGTGAAATGTAAGGTTTTCCCTAACTTTGTAAATTCTTACATAATTTAATGTGAAAAGTCATTACTTTACACCTTGCTGTAGGAATTATTTGATTTAGCAACTGGTTGTATTCATATTTAATTGCTTTTTAATTTTTATTAATAGCCAAAGTTTAATTAATCTCCTCCTGACGGGACATGCTGTTTCTAATGTATGGGATGGTGATCGAGAATGCTCAGGAATGAGTGAGTTTATTCTTTGTTCTGTTGCTCTCTTTCATGATTAATATTTCTGTGGAATGCAGCTGATTATTATTCATCTATTTAATGGCTCTACGTTACCTAGAGGTTAAGTGCTTTCTAATAGAGGAATCCTTTACAGTTTTCAAGGCACCATAATGTTAAGACCATTAATCTTGGAGCCAGGCAATCTTGCGTTCAAATCCCAAGTGTATGACTTTAGTCAAGTTGCTTAACTTCTCAAGCCTTTCGTTTTCCCTGGTATAAAACTGGGATTTAAGACTCTTAATATATATAAACACAGTGCATATTTTTTCAGAGATATCACTGCATTCTTTGCTTGAAACTGAGAATTACAAAGCCTGGTGATATGAAACACTTGCTTTGAGAGTCTAGTGTGGTTTTTGTCTATATTACTTTTAACATGCATACTTAGAAATCCTGAGCAAATTTAATGTTACCTGAGACTTTTAAACTACCAACTCTTCCACTGCCACTTCCATTTTTGGTCTCAATTATTTCTTTCCTGTGGCTTCATATGTTGCCAGGCACATTTAAATGGATCCCATTTTGGCCTATCCATTCAGTTAAGGAGAGCTGATACATAACCAAATAAAATTCCCTTCAGTTTATTACTGGGTCAGTCTGAATTTATTTGTTTATTCATTTAACTTACATTGAGTAACCACAGTGTGCCTCTCTGAAGTATGTAGCATAGGACATGAAGCTCCAGAGTTGCCAGAGCTCACAGGCAAACAGAGCAAATATAATTGAGAAAATAATAGTTACCACTTTTTGCTCCCGTTGAAATGATTCTTGATCTTCTATTTGAATTTTTCTCAAATTTAGAAATGTGTAACAGAAACATGAAAGGGTATATTAAGGGGAAAAATCAGTAAAAATAAAACTTCGGAATTAAAAAGCACCATAATACAACCCATTTTACTGTTTGAGAATTTTAAGAACTAACTTCACTTCTTATTTAATACATATGCAAAATTATTTACTTAGTGGTAAGGTTATAATGAGAACCAAGTTTTGTTGATTTCTGGTAAAGGTCAGAGTTTAAACAGTGAAATTCATAAACAAAGAAACTATACAAATTATCTTGCTCAGCTTTCTGTAATTGAGCTCATCCTAGTCTTGAACCCTTATTCTGATTCATAGCTGAAAGCATTTAATCCTGTCAATGAAAAAAGTCTCAGTCTCTCTTGGGTAACATACCAGTTTTTTTGGTGTCTGTTTCTCTCTCACCTGTAGATGGCTTCTGCACACTCCCCTCTTTCTTCTTCTTCCTGTTGTTTCTGGACCCTCAGGTATCTCGGATGATTAGGGAAGCAACACAGTGTTCATCCTGGGGTTGAGGCGACTCATCCTACTTGGCCCTCTGTCTTTGCTTCTTCTTATTGTGTGCCCTGGCCTGACTCTTCCCACCCTGTCTTTAGCATGTCACTCTTGAACTTGCTCCTCATCAGTGTGGTTCCTCTTTCTAAGCATTCTTTGGATTCTCAAAAGCCTATAGTACGTAATCCCTAAACCAGAATACTCCTCTGCCTCCCTACGCTTTTCCTCACCCAGCCTCTCACAGACTGAGATGAGATACCTTTCATTGACAGGATTAACAGTCAGAATGAGGGTTCAAGAATAGAAGGCTCTATGAGTGGGTGTGGTGGCTCATGCCTATAATCCCACCACTTTGGTCAAGGTCTTGAACTCAAGACCTCACCTGAGGTCAAGAGTTCAAGACCAGCCTGGCCAACACAGTGAAACCCCCATCTCTACCAAAAATACAAAAATTGGTTGTATGTGGTGACGCACGCAGTAGTCCCAGCTACTCCAGAGGCTGAGACAGGATAATCACTTGAACTCGGAGGTGGAGATTGCAGTGAGCTGAGATCATGCCACTGCAATCCAGCCTGGATAACAGAGTGAGTCATCCCCCACCCCCCCCCCAAAAAAAAAAAAGAATAGGAGGTTCCATAGGCAGCTCTTGCCATGAAGTCATTACTTCCTTTACAGAATATATTAATTATAGATTTTGGTTCTTGAGATGTACACATCTTTTTTGTTTCTTGAAATAATACTTTTCAAGACTGTCGTCTTGCTGTGGATCTTTTTTCTGTATAGTTTAAAAGTCCAAACTAACCAACAACTTTGAAATGGCTAACTTGGAAAAGAAAATAGAATATGTTTCTTGCATTTTGGAATGTTGACTTGAAGTGAACCCTGTTTTCAGTCATCAAACTTAACAATGAGAAAAATATCCCATTTATCTTTCACTGAACCTTCTTGTTTTTTTCTAGATAACACATAGTACACATTTTTTCTCGCCCTGCCAAGGTTGTTGTTATTATTAGAAAAGAACTCTTATTATAAACTTTATTTTCCAGAAGAAAAATAAAATAAAAACTTTATTGATTGGGTCTACTCTGAATTAATCCAACTTAAACTCATTTAAACTTTCACTGCTGACTACACATCGTAACGCTTTTTTCTACTCCTCATAACTCCTTTATCTATTGCCACTTAAGGCAGTGGGTTGAAACCCCTTCTCTTTATCTGTCTCTAAGTTTACCTCTGCCTACTCACTCTCAGCAGACTTTAAAATCTCAAGTTGTCTTTTTTCCAGCATATTTTTCCCCCGTTTTAGGAGAACTATATGTCTTTCCAGAGCTACTGTTACTCTTGATTCCATTTACTGTTTCTCCTATTAAATGTGGCTCTCTTCCCTGGTCGACACAAAATGTAGGTGGTTTCTAATGCTTAAAACAAAAACCATGATGTGTAATGACCAGGCAGTGAACCTCTCTTCACCAGCAGAAGTTCCTTGCCTGCATTGCTAAAATACTTACTCTCTATGATCTGAATTCTGTGTAATTTATTCTTCTAAAGCAAAGACCTCACTCCCTGCTAAAATCATAGCCTTTTTTTTCTACCCCCTATTCTTCTTGAAGGAGGTACACAGCATGGCTCATTTACTAACACTATGCCATGAACAGGAATCTTTCAATTAAAATCTCAATCTCAGCTGCTTCTCTATAAATGGGGCAAATGTCTACATCTCAGGAGTACTGTGTAATTTAAATAAGATAAACTCCAGTGCCATCTCACATATGTATTATAGCACTCAAGAGTCTAAAATGTAGTGTAAGAGGCAGCATATCTTAATGATTAAGTATGTTAGCTGTGCAGAATTAGACTAATGTGGTTCAAATCTCAGTTGTGCCATTTATTAAACTGTGTGGAATTAAGCAAGATATTTGACCACTCAGTGCTTCTATCTCATCTTCCAATTGGAATGATTATCACAGGGTAGTTAGAATAATGAGGTGAGAAAATGGCAAAAAGAGATATTCATCACGTCCTTAAGCGCAGTGGTTGGCACTGTTCAATACATGTTTGCCACTGCTGCATAATGAGCATTCTTACTAATCATCAATAGTTGTAACTGACCTTTACAGAAAATTGAAACACTTGAGGGCAAAGATTGTTTTTTCTTCTGCCAAAATAGAAGCAGGGCCTTTATCCAGCTTGTAATGTTTCTGATGTTAATTTATTCAACAGGCTTTATTTGAAAATGGGCTAGCTATGTGTACCTTACTGCCATGTATCTAATTAGTTGCTGAGTCCTCGAGATTCTCCATTGTTGAACTTTCACAGAGGACAAGTGATACTGCAGGATAGTGTGCTTTGGTGGAACAAGCAGAGATCTCGGGTGTGGTGATGAGACGAGTTAGTTTACACCTCTGCTGTTTGAGCACGTTACTAAATTATCTGAGCCTCAGTTTTCTTACCTATGCATTGAGGTTAAAAATAGACATTCACACATGCTGCCTAGCACAAAGCACAGAAATACTAGCTTTTCTCTTTTTTCTTCCTTTGCCAAGCCTATTGTGGTCTTATTACCTCCCACCTGTCTAGACTATCATGCTATAGCTTTCAATCTGTCATTTCACTCCAGTGTATTCTACAAACTGACAAGTTAGCGTTTTTGTTTTACAGGAGCCTCTGTGTTCCTACTCAACCCTATGTTACAGTCTTTTACTAGTCTTCTTCACAAAGCCAGTGCCTTAATCCAATGGTTCTCAAACTTGGCTGCACATCACAATTAACTGGGAGAAATTTAAAATCACCTAGAGATTGTAATAGAGTTGTTCTCCGCAGGAATCTGGGTATTCATATATTCTTAAGCCCCCCAAATGATACTGCGGAGTCAGGATTAAGAACCACTGCTCTATTCAGATGGCTCTGCCTCCCTGTCCTTAAACACAATGATATTTTTCCCCAGTTGTCCTTCTCATTCCATCTGGGACCATTCAAATGATAACTTCTACCTAAAGTCTCCCCACTTACCCTGACATAGCAGGAAAAGTTTTCTCCTCCCTCTGAACATCTCTGGTGCTTTACTTCAGTGTGCTTCATTCTGTTATACCTTGCATCATAGTTATTAGTATATATGTTCATGTTTCTGTAAACCAGGTGCATAAGCTTTTGAGGAAAACTACATTTTTTCTATAGGCCAGTGTAGGCATTTTAGAAAGAGGATCTTAATCTCGACAGCAACCCTTCAAGGAAAGTATTACTCCTTTTGTTATAAAGAAGGAAATTAATGCCTAGAGAAGCAAAGCGACTTGCCTAAGAATTTTCAGCTAGTAGCTATTTAATTGTAATTTTTCTTTCTGTGTTACCTACCTCCTGCTGTGTTGTCAGAGCAGGAAATAAGTCCAGTAAATGCTGAATGCACATATGTTTGATGTCAATAAATGTATTTTTTTTCTAGTCTGTCTTTTGCCTTGAGTTTACTTATAGTAAACATTTAGATTGTTTCCATTGGGGCTATAAGAAACTGCTGTAGTAAACACGTTTTGTATGTAAGTCTTTTGTATATATTTAAAAGTATACCTACAAGTTAGATTTCTAAAAGTAGGTGTATTAAAATTTAGGCATCTATTAATTTTTTTTTACTTACAGGTTTATTGAGACTTAATTCACATATCATGCATGTC